ATGAATAACCGAGGCTATGCTTTAAAAAACTCGATAGTAAAGGAAACAAAACACCTGTCCGCGATTTTAAAGCAGTCATAGTTGAACGATTTCTTAATACCAGACCACAGCGCGTTGTGGACAAGCTGAAACTGATCTGTTTGATAACAGCCTGTTTGACAAACTCAGTAAAACAACAATTACAATTGGCATTAAATTAATGGCACGATAAAGGTATTACAACTGTTCTGAACCACATCTCTAATACATGGGTTGGCAACAATTAAAAATCATAATGCACTCACGTCGTAGTATACCAATAATTTGCGCTCGATTTACTCACTACAGTGAATCTATGGCGGCTTTCCACTAATGCATAATTCTTTAGAAAAGCCTACTTTTAATGCGTTTTGGCTTTACGTCCACACTAAAACGATAAAAAAACCGATGTTTTCATAAAACGTCCTCAAAGGTGGAGACTTTTCAAAATGGAGGTCAACGGCTAAGTATAAAGAGAAAAGAACAAAGGTTTACGAACTGATACGCTGACTTCACAGCCTAACACGCCCTTTAGAATACCCTGGGAGGAAAAATTTGACTCCAGATATGTGTTTATCCTAGTTTAGTATTGACTGTCGGAAACGAAAATTAAACGCAAGTATGGACATCCATAGTTTCGTTGCCGTTTTCGTGATCGCGAAAATCAGAGGTTTTTTGGATAACACATTCGTGTGGGCATGGCCTTAAAACGTTATGTCGCGTGTTCAGTACAAATATTTAACGCTGTTGGTTACGGGTTTAAAAAAAACTTGTTTTCGGATACTCTCTATCCTTAGTTTGTAATGACTATCTTAGCTTATCTTATCCTCTCCAATAAAACGTTATAAAGACCAGCATTAATCTAAAGACAAAAATTAGCCTTTGAAAGTTTAAAACTGTGATTGTTAGTTCAGCCAGTACATTGACTAAACTTTAGGATTTTCCTTTGTTTTTAATAGAAACGCACACAGTTTTCATCAGTTTATAGCCGTATATATTAGCAAAATTCGCCATCTATTTACTAAATTTCTTGATTTTTGATTTCTGATAAAGTCATATGATGAAACGTTTATCAAGTTCAGGGCAACTCCTAACTAAAGATATCGAGACAATTGAACAATTGTCTGAAATTTTAGCCCAGGCCTACAGGTGGCGCTTCAAAATCTCACTTTTGAACAAAATTCTCACTCAAAACATGATAAAAATCTGAACGTATAGGCACAATCAACGCCAAAAACTTAAAATATTTACGCTTAATTAACTGTCGCAGTAATAAAATATAACGATGCAATAAAGCATAAAAGCTGTATCTATATATACGATCGTGCGGGTGGAGTATAGTCCTGAACAGGACAGCTGTTGACACAGTGTCTGACTACGTTTCAACAACATCAGCGGTGTGGAGAGCCTTCTCGCAGGCTACATCACTGTCATGTGGGTACTGTAACGTCGATTGTTGTTATAAAACTATTAGTTATGGACCTGATTGATCAAGAAAGTCCGGCGATGTTATTGGCTGTCTAGCTGTTGATGTTATTGTTATTGGTATATTGCTACACAGAGGCAAACAAGTACACTATCGCATTGACTTGGGCTCTGCTGAATACGTCAGACTTCATCCAACGACTAACTTTAGAAAGCTGCCTTACCAAGTAAGAAAAAACGCTTTTGAATCAAATTTAGCAGTTAACTGCACCATGTAATGAAGCCCGACAGAATCAACTGTTATATCGTTTTGTCAGCTGCTTTGGACTTGCTAGTGCACAGCGTTCAGTAGGACACCTATTATTTTGATCTTGCTGACCGATAGAAGGTCTGCACCGTACAAACGAGTTATCAGGGGCGCCCAACGTCAATTTTTGGAAAATATCTGTTCAGAAGACGATTTGCGATCTAGAATTTTCGGAACATTTTTTATAAAATTTCTTGCTTGGCGCCTCTCCTAGGATTTTCGAACATTTAAAAAATGATATAATTGCCCATTTTAACGGATTTTTACCCGTAAAGAGGTCACCTAGAATTTTCGGGAGCCTTTTTTCGGCTGAAATTTTCGAAAAGGTAAATTTGATCCCCTATAATTTTCGGATCACTAGACTTTCAGCTAGGAAATCTGAAGAGATGAAAAATTTTGGGGAGATAAAAATATGTCTATATCTACCGTTTAAATACTAAAATACGTTCAACAATGCCATTTTTCAACCTCGTCCCCAGGGTCGTTTCCCGTAGAAAATGCATTTTTGTGAAAAGCAGGAGAAAAGAGAAGAAGGGAAAAGCCCTGGGGACGAGGTTGTGCTATTTTTAAGTGGTTGTGAACTATATTCTCGTTGGGTGCCCCTGAGTTGCCAGAGTTACGAACCTACTGACAAAACCAACAACAAACTGACTGATCAAAACTCGAAAGTTGGACTAACTATCAGTGAAAAACGACGGATTGGATCCAACTCGCCACTCGACGAACAGTAGTAGTTTGGTGTTATTGACTGACTACCAATAACATCACCACTTTGTTGACAAATCAGGGCCAGAGTTTGACGATATACAATTCACTTTGACACTCGGTCACTATCATCAATAGTCCTTTTCACGACTACACTCTCTTCAGTCTCTTATTCATCCACTGATGATTAAGACATGACTCTTGCAATGGGGTCAAACCATTACTGACGATATACATGTATAACAAAATGTTAACAAAAGCAGCACATGTCAAAAACTGCCGTTTACGTATTTATTAAATGCTACTTCGTTCCATTAGCCTTAATTTGTTGGCGTTACACTAAACCTTTTTNTCTACCGTTTAAATACTAAAATACGTTCAACAATGCCATTTTTCAACCTCGTCCCCAGGGTCGTTTCCCGTAGAAAATGCATTTTTGTGAAAAGCAGGAGAAAAGAGAAGAAGGGAAAAGCCCTGGGGACGAGGTTGTGCTATTTTTAAGTGGTTGTGAACTATATTCTCGTTGGGTACCCCTGAGTTGCCAGAGTTACGAACCTACTGACAAAACCAACAACAAACTGACTGATCAAAACTCGAAAGTTGGACTAACTATCAGTGAAAAACGACGGATTGGATCCAACTCGCCACTCGACGAACAGTAGTAGTTTGGTGTTATTGACTGACTACCAATAACATCACGACTTTGTTGACAAATCAGGGCCAGAGTTTGACGATATACAATTCACTTTGACACTCGGTCACTATCATCAATAGTCCTTTTCACGACTACACTCTCTTCAGTCTCTTATTCATCCACTGATGATTAAGACATGACTCTTGCAATGGGGTCAAACCATTACTGACGATATACATGTATAACAAAATGTTAACAAAAGCAGCACATGTCAAAAACTGCCGTTTACGTATTTATTAAATGCTACTTCGTTCCATTAGCCTTAATTTGTTGGCGTTACACTAAACCTTTTTTCTTTAGTTAATTAAAAAAGGCTTTTACGGTCTCATTTTCTACTGCTATTAAATATTAAAATAGGAAATTTACACGATGACGTCATTTTACTACTTCGACCCTTTTTTTATTTTTCCTTTCATAGTTAATCTTGGTAATCCTGGCGAGGTTTAAACAACAAAAGCCCTAATTTGTACAACAGGGCAAAGCCCTAAAAGATTCTGGCCGTAGTAGTAAAATGACGTTATTGTGAAAATGGCCTATCGATAGTAAAATTCCATCTGGCGAAAAATGTGTTCTTGGTATCCCACAGTCTCTTAAATGGGAAGCCTTTTTTTGTATTTATAAACACAGACACTCTTTTAGAAGTTTTCGGACATCACATATCCGTGTCCTCTGGAACTGAAGAAAATAACATGTACTGCATTAATACACTTCAGAAAAATAATGCCTTTAATTAGTGCACGATGTTAAGGATGAGATGAATTTGAAACTGTGGAATCATAGGTGACAAAATTTGAACACTTATAGATTAACCGAGAAGATTTTCATGGTGTTTTTTATTCAAGCCATCCAACTGATAAGTCATTTTATTTTCTAACTTTGACTAGAGCTCACAGCAAAACCTTCTGTCCGAAGATGTAAAAGCAATCTCTTTTATTATTGAAAACAACTGACCTCCTAATCTTCTAACCAAAAAGCGAAGTTTGATTGTCATCTTTTACGCAAATTGCCTCTAAATAGGTTGATAAGTATCTGACCCAGTCACTTTGCATGTCATTCGATATTTTCACACACACCCGAAAATCTGACTTTTTCGGGTGTCTTTTAGTAATCTACCGTAAAATACCACAATAGGTCCTGGGCCTATACATCTTCGTAAGGGGTTTTAGGAGAGCTTACAAATGAAGGGGCTGATGTGCGAGGGGCCTTAAGACCGGAATAGAAAAAACCGCTTCCAAACAAGCTTTTGCAGTGTTGATCGAAATACGTTTTGCATTTACTGGTTTTGATTTAGCTTCAAAACGCCATAATAAATCGAATAAATCGAATCAATTATCAATTTCAATACATTTGGAGGAGGCTTATAATCAGATGAATTTTTTTGGTTTACCGGCAAATGGTCATATAACTGGGTGCGGGGGTAGGGGGGGGGAGTTGGGGGGTGTATAAGTGGCAGTTAACAGTATTTGCATTGAGGTTCCCTATTATCCGTAAAAAAAATTTTACTGTTATTCAATTTTTGTTGTAACTGGCATTTGTGAAATACTGGAGCTATTTTCTATCGCTGATGTCTTGAATTGTCGATCTTTGACTAAATAATGGCATGTATTTTTTATTAATTTAATTGTTAACAGTTTGGAAAGAATAGAATCGTATTGAGTGCCAGCAATCGAACAGTAGCCACCCATTACATTCTTATTTTTACAAGATTTGCACTTGTTTTCCTAGTTACAAACGAATCTGCCAATTATCTTAAACTTTTTTAAAAGATGCTTTTTGATTGTTATTTTTGCAACTTATTTTTTTGGAATTCGACACAATGAAAATCGAAAATTTGCAAAATAAAAACTTCTTCTACTTACGACTTTCGCGGTTACTTTCATCAAATTCAATCGTAACGTCATCACCAATCAGTACAAATGGAGCCCAGTACTTTGGGGCAGAAAACTTTTCCGAGTCCCGCAGACATTTCATGGCCCTCTGAAGAGCAGAACTGGCACTTTCTCCACCTCTCAGGTGTTGGTAAAAACGTTTCATAAACTCCAGGGTTGTTTCGTCATTAATTGCCCAGAGTGTCGCCACCACGGAACGAGCACCAGCAAACAAGAAAGCCCGAGCAATACCGACCACACCCTCAGACGAGACCTCCCCTTGACCACTATGACAGCAACTAAGGACAACCAGCCTGGCTCTCAGTTTCACAGCTTGTATATCAGACATTCTCAAAAAATAGTCCTCCTCAGGAATCTCGGATTTCCAGCAAGGGTCTGGAGCCAAAGCAATTTCACCAGTTTCTTTACTTCCGTGCGCTGCAATGTGAACCAAAGCAACTGAATTTATTCTGCGAAGAACTTCTTTTTTGGTCGCTGCTTCTCCCGTCAGTGGTTGGCACTTAAGAATTTCTCCAATCATCTCCACTTCCTTTTTTGCGTATTCCAGTTGGTCATAAATAGGATAACCCCCTTTATTTGTAACTTTCTTCAGACATGGATCTCCAACAAGCAGGACGCCACTTTTACAGTGGTATTCGTCTGGAGAATCTGTGATGAATTTCAAACTTGTCAGTGAGGGAACTGTGCGGATCCTTAAAGATTCACTTAGAGCGGCCCATGGAGCTAAGGATAAAGCGCCATCAGGGACTA